CCTGCTTTAAAACGTCTTGGGACTGTCAGATATGGCCTGTTTCACCATTTGTTCACTTGAAGTTAACGTGACCTGACATTATACTATTTTGTCCTGTTGGGCTAGCTAGCAGCCACAATTTGTGTTTAAATTATACTGTGTGTGCTACAAGCCCAATACAAGGGAGGTAAAGCCCAACAACTTTACAATTTAAGCAGGGCTGCAGAATCAGGTGCTTAAGTAAGGAATGTATTACAGAATGACTGTCTGAGGTTGCTGACAGACTAATTTGAAAATACATCAAGGGCTTCGGTGTACTTTGGGTCCATTTGGAAATGCAATGCTTGATTTGCCTTGTTTGGAGCGGGAGGAAGAATCAACCTCCCTAAGCAGCTGAGTCAAAAAAATCCATGCCTTTCTTTTCAGCCACAGCGTCTTGCAATCCCATTAATTCACTGTTTCACTCCAAGCTGAACCAAAACACATCCCTTGGGGAGAACCAGACAGCATGACTCGGCATTTCCAAGCACTTTCTCCAGAAGCATTGTGTACAAGTTCCATTTTTAAAGGTGCTTGGTGCCTACAGCATGGTCACGCACATTTCTAAGCAAAAATTAAATTTCACTTGTGTTTTTCTGTATTAAGAGCTGCACAGCTTCAGGCTGATGAGGAGCATAAGAATTCTCCTTTCTTGCCTTGGCTTTTCTACCCACACAAGGATTCACAGCTTGCAACCCCCTCCCTGCTGCAGGATTAACAGCTCACATTACATTTAATCCTTTTCACATCTCCTGTCCACTTCCCTCAACACAAACTGTGATAGAAAACCCTTGTGGCTTTAGCAATGACAATTTTCTGTTTAAAAAAAGTTGGCTGCTTTTGTCCCATTTACTTGGATCCACTGACTTTTCTTGTTCTTTTTCTCCACCTGCATACAGTAAGCTTTTTATTTGCAGCACTCTCCTAATAATGCAGCTTTCCGCACCGTTTTGTAGCCTGCGTGGTTGGTACATCTGTTGCACTTAATTCAGATTTGTACATACCTATACATGTGAATGCCTGTTTCCAGATGCACTCATGAGATGGGAAATAAACAAGCTGTCCACTTTTCCTCCTGCGTCCTCCTTTTTTGTATTTTCTAGTGGGAAGTGTCTGGCCACAGCTGATCCACTTTATTCGACAACACACGTTGCCCACTGTCCTGCCCCCAAGTGGATGATACACTCCCCTTGTCATGTGGAGGCATAGATCATGTGTGGTGGCACAGGGATGCAGGGCAGCATGAAACCTGGGGAATCCCCAGTACCCCATGCTGGGATCTGCTCCAAGTCCAAGGCTGACCTGTGCTTCATGTGTTGACAGGTCACCAGGGAATCCTTGGGTCCCATGCCTCCATGCTGGGACCTATGAGGGCTTTCCACACATCAGGAGACCACCCCCAGAGATCCCAGGGCAAGTCTCCATGAGCAGGGAACCCTGATTTTCCCCGCTGACAGAGGCACCTCAAGATTCCCCAGGATGTCCCTGCTTGCAGGTGATCCCAGGGCTTGAGGGGCCTGAACATGCATGGGAATTCCTGGGGGGCACAGAATTAGGCCCCTCAAGCCCCCAGACCACTTGCCCAGGCAGTTGGAGAGTGCAGGCAGCTCTGGGATGCCAACACTGCTCCCACCAGAGCACGCAGACACCTGCAGCAATAAAACAACACTATTTTACATTACCAACTATATGGTGTAACAAAGGGTAGGGGCATCAATTTTCTCACAGCTGGTGTTGCCATACAAATTTTATGGAAGCAGATGTGATGTCAGGCAGCATCCATTGCTACCTTCAGGGTTGTTCAGAGGAAAGAAAAGTTGTTTACTTGGTCTCAATATTCAGAGCATGAGACCAGACTGTAACCCTGTATTCACATCAGTAGCAAATCAATGGCCTGCTACAAACACTCTTGGTGGTGAACTATCAATTGAGGGGAATTAATCAATTGAGAACTATTTGACTTTAATTGCAAAAGCGGGCTGGCAAATCATGTCTGTGGATGGCTGGAGAGACACTTAAAGAATTAATATTGTAGTACTTTGCACAACAGCGGGGAGTACTGCCAGCCAGAGCCAAGCACTTACCTGTGTTGGAAGACGCAAGTATCCTTCTGTGATCCCTGCTCCATTCTGCACCCTCAGCATGACTTAGCACTACTATGGACTAGATCCTCCTTCCAGGCTGTATTTCCAGGATTTTACTGAAAGATTGCAACAAATTATTTGGAGAAAGCAAGAACAACTTCAGGAGAGAGCAAAAATGAAGAGAAAGGCAAGATGGGCAAATGGAACAATCTCTAAGATGTGGTTACACAGAGTAGGGGGCCCTGGCCTCATCCTAAGAAAGGCATCGCATCCACAGAGCTGGAGAGAAGCACTAAAAGGCTGTTAAAATGGAAAAAACAATCCCCCCCCCAAGCAGCTATTCCCCAAGGACCCGGAGCTCACGTCCCTCATAGTCCTTTTACAATTTCAGTGGAGAAGCCATTTAAAGCAGTTTAGAGTTGCATCAGGACAGATCAGGATATGGTGAATCCCACACCCAGATATTGCATGGCATGGACAAGATTGAGCCAGACTCCACGTTAACAAAGTGTGTCCAAGAACAGGAAGAAACTTATGAACATTTCACTGAGAAATCTGAGCAAACCCTACAGAACATCTTTAAAAAGCAGAGAGATGCAAGGAAGTTCAGACCAAAAAAAATCCACCTCAGAAAACTTCACAAAGACAGCTCTTGGGACAGGTAAGAGAGTGGGATAAGAAGTCACATGAGGAAGGTGGTGCATACACAACCAAAGAGAAAGCAACTCAACTGTGCAGGGAGGAAACTGCACATTATACAGATTTTCAAAATAGGTGGAAATGATCTTCCTTGGGAAGATCAGAGAAAAAAGAGAAACTTCTCAATGAAGTGAATGGCCACATTAGAAATTGCTATAAAGCTGCAGAAACCAGGGAGATGTGCTGGGAACATTTTCATATCAAGGGTTACGTGTCACTACATACGGAAGTATCGTTTGCATCACTGCTGGGTGAAGCCACTAACATCATGCTCCATCCTAAACCAGACTTGCTGTGTGACATTAATCTGCTTGCACCTCCATCTGTGGAGTCTATGCACCCTCCATACCCAGCTAAACAAATGGCTTTCAGTGTTGGGTAACACCGCTTTCTCCATTTGTCCACCAGTTCATCTTTCTGGGCTAGCATAGCAACCCAACTAGTAATTAATAGGAAACTAGCAGGAGTTAATCAAAGCAGCATTGTTAGGGCTTCTGCTTTTCAGTTTAAACATCAATAATACCATCCACATACAAAAGAAACAAAAATCAGCGTAAAACAGTCAATTTAGGATGACATCACCTCTTTCCTGATGTAGTTTATTTAGGTGATATCCCTCCAGTCCAGCTTATATGTAATATTAATTCAGGTTGGGTACTTAAACCTTACCCAACTGAGTGACAGCTAATTCCTGCATTTCACTGGATACTCCAAAGATAGTGATGCCAGTATAAATGCACACAGGATTTTCAATTAACACCATTTAACAAATCATACATGTAATTAAAGGCCTCATAGTGCAAAAGCCCCAGATGAATGTGATCATAATAATCAGGATTTCTTCCAGGTGAGCAAGTTTCTCCCAGTGTGCAAGTACTGTACATATGTCAAGAAAACGATCTGCAGTCTAAAACCCATCTAAGCCTGGGAGCCCTGGCATTGAAGCCAGCTACCCAATTATTAATTGATTAAACTAAGACAAGGTTTAAATACAGACTGTGATGGAGGCAGCATATGAATTTACAAGGGCTGTGATGTAACCTGGTGCAAGCCACCTCGCCATCCCATAAACAAAGCAAGCAAATCGACTAACGGGTCTACATTTCAGCAAAGCCTCCTGGCAGCAAGACTAACGCCAAAGCAGCTCTGTCTTACCATTGACACTACCCAGAGGCATTTGAAATTGGACCTGGCAAGGAGCATACAGCTTTCAGGACTTTTTGTGACCCACCATGAAATGAATGGTGATTGAGCTATCACGCCACCAGGAAAAGTGGCTTTTACAGTCCGATGACAAACCTCACTGTGCAAATACTGCAACGTCTTTTCAGGGTTGGCTTTAATGCAAAATGTCAGATAAATATGAAGAGTGGTGAAGGATGCATATTTTTACAGTGATTCAGTGAGCCAACAAGAACGTTGCAAAAGGGTTTAAATAGTACAAGGCCAGAATCCAATCCAATAGTTCTTCACTGACCTGGTCATTTGCTGGACGGTGTCATACAAGGATTCAAGTCTTCAAAACTTTTCCAAAGTATTACAAAATCTACTATATTAAATCTAGGATCCTATTAACAAGGATACAAGCTTAGACAAACACGTGAATTTTTTTTTTTAAATATCATTAAATTAAGCATTTGGAAATGCAATGCTTGATTTGCCTTGTTTGGAGCAGGAGGAAGAATCAACCTCCCTAAGCAGCTGAGTCAAAAAAAATCCATGCCTTTCTTTTCAGCCACAGCGTTTATGTGGCTAAAGATAATATTTAAAATATCATATGATTTTAAAATATCATAAAGATAAAGTAATACTATTTAAACAGGAATTTGGGACAGGATCCTCATTTCTGCGTGTAAAAAATAAAATCTGCAAAATAGGATTATTTAAAAAAATTTACATAGTGTTCAAACATTGCTAAAAAATAGCTCTCAGCCAGAAAACAAAATCCCCAACTACTGCTTTACAGTAGAATCCAAGAAAGGTCTCACACCTTTTGGAAGTCTCCCTCTTAAAGTTCATAAATGGTCCTGCTTTGGTCCCTTCCAACCCTAATTTTCTATGATTCTAACACCTTATCCAATTGTCTCCTGAAAATTTACTTTTTCTGAGACAACTCGCTGTATGGGAACAGTGAGGCCAGGAGAAATTTGCACCTTCCGCATTTCCAATATATTCTCTTCTGTTCCCCCACCTATCCCACATCATTTGGTTTGGTCACCTGCTCTGGCTCTTGTAGACCAGAGCATTTTAGGGGCTTGGGCTGACTTGTTACAACCCAATCTTTGGCTGACTTTTCTGGAATACAGAACAGATATATTTTATAACCACAAGTTAGAAGTTAGTTACAAACTGATTAAAGTTGATTAAGTGCCAAATCCACTCCCAAACCCTTAAAAGCAAGGAATGACTAGTTGAAAGAGCTTACTTTTCCTCCTCCACATCCATTAGAAACAGTTTGGATGACAGGCTCCACTCCACCCAGCTGCCTTCCACCTCCAGCACACAACATACACCACACGAGCCAAAGTAATTTAACTCTCACTGCAAATTAACTGCCTTAACTAAAGCCTCAGCAACACTAACATTTCTACACTGGAGTGTCTACTGCAGTGGTTCTCACTCTCTTTAGACCTAGGCTGCTCTCCATACCTTTCCAGAATTTAGTGGCATCCCATTTCAAAATTCTATGGAAAAAAAAGCATGGTGACCTGTTTATGAGTGGGCATGAAAATGTTTCTGAAGTTCCTTTACCTTAGATTAGATATCTTAGAAAAGACTGTTAGGCTTTTACATCTTTCAAGTTTTTTTTTTTAATTAAGAGCATGGAAATAAAGTGAGGAACACTACTGCTAAGGGCAATGTTATAGTTAAGAAGTTACAAGCAAACAAGAAGTCAGGATATAAAGACTTCAGGGCATAGCCCCATAGTTCATAGATGCAATGACTTGACTGTAGGACAGAGACCACACTTGTGAGGAACTGAATCTTCACTTTGTTACCTGTAGGTGCCATCTGGTATACAGGCCAAGATGAGCGCTAGGCTCCCTCCAGATTTGTGACCCCTGTTAGCAGCTGCCCAGTGCCAGCAGGCCCAGCCCCCTGCCCCAACAAGGGCACAGCCCTGAGCCCCAGCTCTGCATCTGCCATAAACCTGGCATCAAGCCCTGTCCTTTGCTCACCACACAGCTATTTCTCCTTATACTGCTTTCTTGCGAGCAGTTGCATCTCAACTGCTGCTCCCCAACCCCTCCATGGACACCTTGGGCTGTATGCACAATTTACTTTGGCCACAAGTTAGAAGGTCAAAGTTACCTTTTTCAATGAACAGTGGCATCATCCAAGACTTGGAAAGACGCAAGGAGGATGCAATGCTTAGTTCCAGTGTTATCACCTGGCCTACAGGGGGCAAAGCAGGTTGCCAAACCAAATGAGATGGGATAGATGGGGGAAAACAGAAGAGCATATACTGGAAAGGCTGAAGATGCAAATCTCTTCTGGCCTCACTGCTTCCCATACAGCAAGATGCTTGCTCCCAGTGCCATGACATGCTAATTCTGATACCTTAGTCTCTTATTATTTCTGCATTCATAAAAAGTCTCATTTGAATTCACTGCTTCACTGAAACAAATACAAATTACACAGGAAGTGCAAAGATTAGAAGTTATTGCTCAAGCCCCTTCGTGCCTCTTACCCATTGTACTCAAGCTGGTGGCTTGGAAGAAGAGATTCTACCTTTTTATAAGCATTTGTGTTCATTAGTATTTCTTCTTGGCCATTCTGGAGTGACTGGTACCTTCACTGGTCTGAGCTCTCTTTCTTGATCTTTCACATAAGGATTGTATGAAAAGATAAAGAAGATGATCACCAGCTGTATTCCTTTTTGAGATGGTTGCTTTGCTTAAAAAAAAAAAAAATAAATTCCCAGGCTACTGTTCTATTTGAAAACCAGAATTCATAGCTAGGTTGATTCATTCAGAGCTAAATGGATCAGTTATACTCAGAGGAAGCATTTATATTGTATAAGTGCTTTTGATATTTGTGTGAATCAGACTATTCCATTAAATATGAAGGACAGCCTGCTGCATGATGGACTCCGGGAAATAAAAATATCCCTCACTTAAACGCCCACAAGTCTAGGTTGCTTTATTTGTCTATGGTGTAGCCCCTTGTAAACTAGGAACTAGCACCTGCCTTTCCCACAAGTGAAACCATTCAGGGGTAACTAGATATTTGTACACCACAGCTGCAAACCAGGAAGCAAAGGCAGCAACTTTTGTTTTTGAAATTAGGGCCCACTCCGCAAGCTGGACTCTACAACATTGTTTTGGCAGGTGGAGATAAGGGCTGGAATCTCAAGGAATGCCTGTTGGAAAGGAAAGCAATTTTTTTTTTTTTTTTTAATACCAAATTTAGGGAAAACTTAAACCTGAGTTTCTTATCCAAGTGCAGATGGTCACTGTCCTGGCAATCTCCTTTCAGAAAGCAGCTCTGATTTATCTCAGCTGTGTTGAGATGCTTCTATAATGAAGACAGTTCTCTTAAATATTTAAACTGTATGCCAAAAATTAGTTTTGTCTGACCTGGGCATTAGCATAAGGACACAAAATACTTTCCAAATTGTGTGTTTCTTTAAAATATTGTTAATTAAGAAGGAAAAAAAAAAAATCATCACTGCATGTCACTCCTCTTCCACTGGTAGTTTTGTCTAAGCTGATCCCTCTTAACTAGCAATCACTATAAGATTGGTTGTTGTTTTGTTTGTTTGTTTGTTTGTTTGTTTTTTAAAGAAAGAAACACTCAGTAAGGTTAAAAACCCAGCCACTGCAGGATTGATAAATGCAGAGACATCATACAACAGGTAGCCTTAATGAATTTCAATATTTAGACCATTTACACTTGGGGAAAGATTTCCAGGGTGCAATTATTTTTATTACCATAGGATTACCTTCATAGTAGCTAGGTTCAAGAGGGACCTGAACAGATCATCTAGCCTGCCCCCCTGCCACAGGCAGGAATGAATGCTGGGTTCACAAGACCCCAGACAGGTGATCGTCCAACCTCCTCTTGAATTTGCCCAAGGTAGGGGCGAGGACCACTTCCCTGGGAAGTTGGTTCCAGATTTTGGCCACCCTAACTGTAAAATATTGCCTTCTGATCTCTAGCCTAAACCTATTCTCCATCAGCTTATGACCATTGTTCCTTGTCACCCCAGGTGGTGCTGGGGAGAAAAGGGCTCTGCCTATTTGCTGTTGATCACCCCTATGAGTTTGTAGGCAGCCACCAGGTCCCCCCTCAACCTCCTCTTGCTGAGGCTGAACAGGTTCAGGTCCTTCAGTCTCTCCTCGTAGGGTCTGTCCTGCTGCCCTCTTGTTCTTCATCAACTACTTTGGGTCAGAAGCACACCACAAATCAAAAATAATTATTTTTTTGCTTAAAATATTACAATTTATCCCTCAACAGTATTCAGACTTCCATGATCATCATTTGTCCTATTTGGTTCCCCCCCCCCACACTTGTAAGAAGGGAGAACTAGGACTAGCCTCCTCACATCACTTCTACTCCCACCTATTCCTTGGGTAGTTTACCTTAGTGACTTAATTCAAAGTTTGCTTCCCTTAAAGAAAGGCAAGAAGTTCTTAGTGTAGTCAATGATTTCCAGAAACAAGAAAAACACCAAGACTCCATGGAAGTTCATGTTCATTCATTGGTTGTCTATTAAGTTAAAATGGCACAATCTTCAGTAGAGTTCAAGGGTTAAAATTATAAGAATAAGGCAAAGCCCTGAAAGGGGAATGTAGAACTACACCACTCCTGTTACACTCTTCCATAGGGTGCTCTAGTCCCACTCCAAATGAAGCACCTCATCGTTTCTGCTGGCAGCTAGTGTGCATATCCTACAGCCTTACAGCTCCTCTGTGGCGCTGTGCACACAGGGCTGGAATAGGAGAGTGATACCTGAAACTATGGATAGCCCTCTGGAAGCTGCTGATGGAACAGCAGGAAGCTCAAGGAACCCCTACCCTCCATCTCTATAAAAGGACAAGCAAATTCCAGACCCAGCTGAATAGCTAGAATTTAAGTCAGGATTTCAGTTACATAAGGTCATAACAAAAAGTTTATGCACAGAAACGTAGTTTACTTAACTGATTAGCTGAATCTTTTCTTTGCTTCTAATTATCAGTTAAAGGAAATTATTCAAACATGTTTGTTATGATGTGTTGAAATGTCTAATAACTCACATAGCTACATTACTCGAGAGCAAGAAACCACAGTAAGCAACACAAGTCAATCTTTATTGAAAACTGAAGTATTAATACATAACAATTCTTGTTACAATAAACGTGCTTTTAAGAATTTAAATCTGAGCTCATCTACTCATTGGATTGCATAAAAAATAAAAAAAGTATGAATTTACACATAATTGAACTGGCTCAGGATGGAATCTCCACTCCTTTGTGTTGATGCAATAGTTCAATGTAGAAGTGAGTGATGCTTTAAAACTTATTCTGGAAGACAACATTGACCTAAACTTAAAAAAGTACCAATATAACTGCTTGTAAGACAGTTTGAAAAAAAGTCATAAAAAAGGAAACCTGTGCCTATTTCATAACAAACATGAGCACTATTACTGGGGCCTCTTGTACTTCTGTTGCATGCACTCATTTTTTTTCAGATCTTAGACATGAGGGCAGCCAATAATAGCATCACAATAAAAAACCCACTAACAAATCCATTCTACTTAAAACAAGTCTGTACAGCAGCCAGCTAAAAAAAAGCTTTCCCAGTTCGCCTGCTAAGTGCCCAAAAGTCACACCAGTTTGGAAAAGTTACTGTCATGTTTTTTTTATTTTGGAGTTTTAGAGGTTAACAACTGTTTAGAATATTTGATATTACAAGTGGACCCTCAAAATTGTGGTTTTCAGATATTTCCAAGTGTACATTCTCCTCAGCATCACTCCTCCTCCCTGCAACCCACTTCCCTACCACCCCCAACTTCTTTCAGGACACACAGATGAAGACAGCCTGCTGGAAAGCCACTAGAGAAGATCTCTAAATAGATCTAAAAAAGTCAGAACAAAGCATGACGGTAAAAAAACAATCCTGACTTTACTGCAATGTTTTCTTTATAAACATTGCCCTTCAGCATGTGCAACTGTTTCTACAGGAGGCTTAGAGCTGCTAAATGCACAAGATTAGAAAAGTGATTCTTTAGGCGGAAATATTTAGACAAGTTTAATTCTCCCTTGCATTTTCTAACAGGCTGCCATGAAAAGAATGCAGTTCAAAATGGGGATTACTGAATTAATTTTGACCTTCCACAAATTATCCTATAGCGACACCTGCTGGAGAAGATCTGTCTATTCTCTACTAGGAACTGTGCAAACTACTTTCTGATCAATTGCAAATTACAATCCAATTAACAATCCCAGCACCTGTTCTCTCTTCCCAAAAGTTGTAAATGATGCATCATTATTATTGTGTTCCAATAAAGGGAAGGTTTCTCTCACATGGTATTTTCCAACCCCCCTTAGTGGACTTAAACCTACAATGGTCTTAAAAGGCTGCTGCACTAATCTACCCAGAAAAAGAGTAATATGTTTAAAAACCAGACTAATGGCATATAATACTGTGTTCAAGCCCTGGGGAGCTATTCCAAATTAAAAATTAGAATCTTTCTTAGATACTGTAAGTGGCCCATCTTCCATGCAGAAGCCAGATTGCTTTGTAAAGACTCGATGTAGAGTACCCTGGTATACAAAAATCTGTACCATGAACTATAGTCTAACAACACTAAGACATGGTGGTACTTATAGGGCTTTTCAGTAGGTGAGACCACAGTAGGAAGGACTACAGCAGATGGCAAATTACAAAATGTGTGTGTTCTCTCATTTCACTTAAGCACTAAACTTGCATAGTACACTCAAAAAGAAGCTGCCATGAACAGCATTCCTCTGTCTCCTAGAAATGTCAACTGGAGATGTTTGGTTCAAGCAAGTTTATGAACAATATTGAAGATACTGGAACAGTTTTAGATTTCCTTCCTTGTGTTCATTAGTGAACATCACACCACTGACTAGAGCTATGAGTTTCTGGTGCCAATTATTAGCCTTTTTCAAGAACATAACTATTTTGCTGCTACTCTCTCTAAGAGACTTAAGTCAGACATTACTGACCTAGGGAACAAATCTCAGCCTAAACAATACTTTGTTTAAATGAAACACTTGAAATTAGAACCAAAATGCATCTTGGACTTCTCTTATGTTATTGCTGAAATAGTTATTTATCTTCAGTTCCAGGTTTAAAAGTTTTTTTTCGTTTTTTTTTAAATCTATTATATAAAGCTGCCATAAAAGTTTTTAGAGAAGATTGATTTGAAATGTTCTCTACTGCACTAGACACCCAGTATTTTTTGAAGAGCTCCAGTGCAAAACATATACTGTGTACATGTGTATATATTTGTACAGGAATTCTAAATAGGGAATGTAGTATAAAAAGCAGGAGAGAATGTTTCTTAAGACCCTCGCTGTGTAAACTCCTATTAAACAACATATGATTTTATCCCAGTTTTATATCCATGCTTTCTACTTTTTGCAACAAAATACCATTAAGATAGTTGTATATACATCCCCCACCCAAACACACTGTGCTTTTGGTTACTCCCCTAATCAAACTACCGGAGACATGCTCCTACCTCCCATTAGTTACAGCAATCACATCTGGAAGGTACGGTACCTTTTGCAAGAAAAAGGTAATTTCCCCCCTTGTAGATGAATCCCATAATGCAACTTAGAAAAAAGTGCTCAAGTAAGTGAGACTGCCTAAATGTTATGGAATAGTATTACTGGGAGACAGATTCCAAGAAAACATTTAGGAAGTTAGAGCAAATATATAGGACATTATATTCTTTCCTTAACTATTAATCTATTAATGCAGCATTCATGAAAAGTTCTCTCCTATGGTTTCAAAGCTTTACTTTATTGGGTAACAAGACAGGAGACAGCAAAGCTTAAAACTTGTACTTTATAGCTTCTCCCCAAGACAGCATCATTTCACACCTCACAACTCCTTTTTCATAAAAAAACATACTAAAAAGACAACAACAACAACAAAAAGTCTCACTCTAAACTAGCTAAACGGGATAAACTGCCTGTATTAATGTTCACTACAGTCTCTGGAACACCTGACGAGTCAATGCTGCAACCCTACGACACAAATGGAATTGTAATAACAGACTTGAACAAAGCAGTACAGATTCAAATGGTTTGTTTGGGGTAAATCTCTGCTCCATACATAAATATATGGAAATCCTCAAGCTGAAATAAGTGCTCATAAGTACATTTAAAAAAGTATTTCTAGTCAACACCATAGTTATGTTAAAGGCATTGGAAATAAGTGTGTGTGGGTCATCTGTTTACAGTGATCCATGCAAAATAATTCTAAAATTTATAAAATAAAACATGGTAGTAAAAGAGTGCTTATTGTAAAAAATAAAGTTACCAAAGGCTCTAACCTCTAATGGGTTTTCAGGTGTGTACACATCCCACCAGGGACAAGTACTGGAATGGCAGCGTTAAAATCAGCACTGATGCTACCTTGAAGTAGCTGCCAAATCTGTATAAGGAGCAGAACACCCCAAAACAAAGCACGAGTAGATATACAATTTAAAAAAAAATCACTTCTGGATGGAAAATTAAACTACAAACACTACAGTCTGACATACCTCTGTGTAAACTCTTAAAAGGGAACAACATTTTATAACCATTTACTGCATAATTTATTGCAGGCAGAATGTATCCTCTCTCCTTCCCCACCCCCGCAAAAAAAAAACACTGCATCTTACTAAGACCATAAATCAGGCAGGTTTAAGAAAAACCTTGATTTTTGTGTGCAATATTCAAATTTATAAATTTAAAATCCTTTCCCATAATGATTTTGGTATATAAATGGGTTCCAAGGCTAGCCCTTTATCCCCATAGCATTTGCTTTGAGGTATTTTAAAAATTGAAGTTGCAAGCAAAGATACTGGAAATGACTCATTGTGATGAAAACACTAATCTGCAGTCCGTCTTAATTTACGTGCTTTCCAAGTGCAATTTAGGAAGTTAAAAAAAAGGGAAAAAAAAAGAAAATCCCAACTGTTACATCAAATATGCTATAACGAATGAATGGCTCCTACTTCGATCACAAATATGTTAGAGGATAAAATCCCCCACAACTTTTGAAATCTCTGCATTCTGATAGCCCTGCTACACTACATCCATAATCCGCACTGCAAATAATATGAGCTAATAAGGACATTGTTAAAATTGTTTGTTCCCCTTTAATATGCTTAACAAACGCACAAAGTTCTCTCTTCAGGATAACAATGTAATTGAACTCCTCCTGTTGGTTGTAGAAACAACTAGAATCTCTTAAATATCTGAAAAGCAAGCTGGTTCAACTGCACATGTGGTTTTTCAATGGACTAGAACATTCTTAGGAAAAACACCTAAAGACAAATAAAATTGGATTTTATTAGTTTGTGTGGCAAGTCTCATTCTGATGAATGCTCTGTCGTATGGAAGGTGGTGATGGTTTCTAACTAGATCACTTTTATTCAGGAGGTGCAATTCATTATAGAGATGTTACCTCCCTTCCTCAAGGAAGGCTACTGTATTTGATTTTCCTTTAGGTAGCCACACATTTATCAATTAATTCTGATCCTTAAAAATGTCTGCATAACACTGAATCCCTATAACGGAAATGGAAAGGTACACGGTAAACTAATTCTGTGCAGGATTTCTGCAGCTTGTCAGACTCATTTTCCAGTCATTCCAATTTGTACTAGTTGAATTTAATTGGAAATGAATATATCACTTAAATTAAAAAAAACCGCGCTCCTTTGAACTGGCAATTCTATCAACCCAAAAAGGTTGAAACACTTATCTAATGTATATAATGGCATTCTATAAAGAAATTCACTTTCACGATTCTACCTTGAAGACCCTGCATATATTACAACAGTGCATTAGTGATACAAGTTGTAAAATACTTTTCGGTTCCTTTGGATTTTGCATATGATGGTTTTTGCATCAGTCACCGCAGGTAGATTGAACAAGCTTTGTTTCTTGTGGGTTTTTTTAAACATGCATTCAACTAGATATGGATCAGAATAAATTTATGCTCCCTTTTTATCATTATAATTAGCTAAAAAAATTGCAAGACAGTCCACAAAACAAGATTTGCTTTAAGACTAACTGCTGGAGTTCCAAGATGTAAGATATGCAGCACTGGAAAATCTTCAGTGATCAGGAATTAGTAGTGTTTAGCAAAGTGTTGAAAGCATTCAGAAGAAAGTCCTGGTTGGAGGCATGAGGGCTTCAGCACCAACTTTTAAACCTCAATTACTTGATTGCATATCTCCCATCTTCAAACCTATAGTCAGAGAAACAGAAAAAAAGAGGCAAGGAAAATATTTAACTATGGTTGACTAAAGCTTGATAACTGCATGCTTTGCAACTGCCTTCAAGCCCCACTTACTTTAAAAAACAAAGTATTATCTAATAATACTCTGCAGCATTCATGCTGTAAACCCACTAACTATATTCCAGTCTGTGGCAATGACAGCAATTTCCTGTAGTAGTTTTCCAAGGTAGAAAAGAGGCTCTTTTTTTTTTCTTTTCAATATACAGACGGACTCTTTTCTACCATGGCAAACTACTACAGTAAAGTCTCCATCACATACCTGGGGCTATTTTTGCCCCTCGTTTGCCCTCCCCCCACAACTTCACTACCTTTTGTTTTCCTAATTTCCATCTATTTACATGTTCTCTGCCATCCTGTCACACTTTCAGCTTCTTTCATTCCTTGGAGATCTCAGAACAACAGCAGTCTCCCTTTGCCTGAAGAAGGGTGATTGTGCCTGAAAGTTGCAAAGAACTTTTTTCCAACTACTCAGCTGGTCTAGTAAGAAATATCACATCTACCCAAAGAACTGGGCCTGCTTAAAGAAACTGATCCTTTTGGGTTTACATGCACCTACTAGGGGTATGTGAAACTTACCACATCCGATTTGGATTCAGCCTGAATCAGGCACAGTGATTTGATTAGTTGATTCGGATCACTGCACCCAACTGGATTCAGTCAAATCCAAATCTGAAGATTCGATGCCGATTCAGAGAATCAGCGATTCGGCCATAGACACAGCTTTGAATGTTTTTTCTACCTGCCTCGAGGTACCAGGTGCAGCTCGTGAATGCTGCGATGCTGGGGCGCATGGAGCATCCCACAGGAGCATGGGGGAGCCCCCTGCATGCTCGGTGGCAAACCTGGTGCTGCCTGGAGGACCCGGAGGCTTCAGATCTGCTGCCGAGCACGCTGGGCCCCCCGCGCTCCTGTTGGACGCTCCATCTGCCCCAACATCACAGAATTCCCAAGCCGCCTGGTATCTTGAGGTATGTAGAAAAAACATTTAAGGCTGTGTCTATGTCCGAATCGTCGAATCTTTCCAAATCTCCCCGAATTGATTTGGAGTGTTTTGATTCGATTCGGAGAGATTAAAGGGTCTCCTGATTTGATTCAGATTCGGCCACCAAAATTGGGCCAAATCAAATCAGCAACCAAAGCTCTGCACAGCCCTAGCAGGTACCAGGGGCACAAATAACTGGAATCAAAGCAAATATTCATCCTCTAATGATACAGACAATGAAGAAGTCTCACCAGAAAGTTCTTCCTCTCCTGCACAGCTACTATAAACAAACAATATTTCAGAAATAATCTGTTCCTAGTATTCACTCAATTAACATATTGGGAATTTCTCTCCTGTGAACTCTCCTGGAAGAGGTACACTGTCATACAGCCATTTACAAGCAGGTTGCCGTTTCAGCATGAACATTGGTAACTTACACTGCCAGGATGATCACCACTGTGGGGGCACATAGCTATAGGTTGGTGTTCCTGGAGCCCGATATGTGGGCATAGTAACTGGATGAGGAGCAACTGGAGTTGGGGAATGAGTGGTCAACAAAGTACCTAGGAAACAAAGAACATTTTTATATTTAATATTTTTCAGAAATTCACCTTTCAGCACTTGTAAACTGTTGTTTCAAAATATAAAATTGAGTCTTGCTCATCTTCTGATGCAGTAAGAAACTGCACTTCAACGCTTGTGAAATTGTACCGTGGCAGTTTCAATTCAATCAATTTTCCTTCAAATGTTTATGGAACAGGGTCACTTTGATATTTTGTTCAATGCAAGTGCAGGTATTTAACTTCCTCAGAAAAAAACTCACAAAAATCCTGCTTACAGAACGCATTATGCTGTGAAAAATGCTTTTCCTCACAACAGGCTCTGTTATAGGAATACCTGAAGCTAAAGAAATTTCATTTTGATAAAGCAGAATAATTTAGTTCCTGTCTGAAAAAAAATGCCAGTGGGTTTTTACAGACTGAAGAATTGTAAAAGGAAACAGACTGATTGGAGTCTCAGGATCCTACTTATTTCCCCTCAAGAGCACTTTATACAGGAAGTTAAGAATGTTTGTCTGTTACAGCTTATCCCACACACAAAAGCTGGAAAAACACACAGAAGCAATGTGTGTCTACAAAACAGTGGTGGTCTTGAAAACAAAAACCTTTCACTGAGGGCTGTGGCGTGCCCAGTCTTAGATGGCTACCATCTAGAGTTCAACAATCCAAAAGACAATAAATGCAATAAAATAATTAATTTACTTTTATCAACACACCTGAAATCTGAGTTACAAAAGAGTAGGTTTGGTTAAAAACAGGTTCCTTGCGCCATCCAGACCCGCTGCACATAACAATCACGCTCAAAATTTCAGGCAGAAGCATCAGACACACACATAAGAAATAGAAGTCTAATTCTAGAACAGCTGTGGCCTTGAAATGATACCAGCTTGTGCAGGATTAGCAAAGTTGCTTAAATTCTAACTAGCTTAGCACTAGGGCTGTGTGAAGCTTCAGTCCCCGATTTGATTCGGTGGAGATTTGGCAGCCAAATCTCTGAATCCGAATTGAATCAGAGGACCCTTTAATCTCTCCGAATCAAATCGGAACCCTCTGGCAATTCAGACATAGAGACAGCTTTAAATGTTTTTCCTACATACCTCCAGGTACCAGGTGGCTCATGAACACTGCAATGCTGGGGCACATGGAGTGTCCCACACAAAAGCAGGTGGCTCCCCAGTGTGCTCGGCAGCAGACCCGGAAGTGGACCAGAAGCACTTCTGGTCCACTTCCAGTTCGTTGCTGAACACGTGGAGGGCCCCCCTGCACTCCTGTGGGACTCTCCATGCGCCCCAGCATTGCAGCATTCACAAGCCACGCTGGTACCTTGAGGTATGTAGAAAAAACATTTAAAGCTGTCATTATGTCCGAATTGCTGATTCTCTGAATCAGCATCGAACTTTGGATTCGGCCAAATTGAATCAGGGACAGCGATCCAAATCAACAAATTGAATCACTGTCCCCGATTCAGGCCGAATCCAAATCCAAATTGAACAGGGCCCGCTTCACACACCCCTACTTAGCACTGAAGTGGACTGGGCAGTGTAATATGTGTGCATTAGGAAACAGTATTCCCTAGGTCTTGGTTGTACAATTCACACTGTCCTTCAATGATGTTAGTAAATACAAGTCATGGTGGGACATGGGTGGCCCCAACTGTGACAGTCAACCAATCATTCTGGCCATGTATACTTGCATTATGTACAGGTCCTAAAATTGTTCTTCTCGGGTGCAGAATAGGAGGTTCCTACTACAAAAATTCTCTATTCAGTTAACTGAACAACTCAACTGGAAACAGTTTTACTTTAAAATTCCTAAGCACCAAATGATTATGCCATCACGGTAGTCTCTTGGACAGAAGCGCAACTGGAACATCAAATCAGCTTTCCTTTTCAATACATTCCTATATTCTAGGTTGCTTACCTGACCCATCCTAGAATACTCAGACTGAGTCAGAATAGATTACAATTCACATGCTACTACACAAACGTCCCAAATTAATAGATACTGTGAAATATTAGTGCCTATATACATTTTGGCCATATAATGCATGTGTACCATAAAGTGTGTAAGGAATACAAATCCAAGTACCTGCTGACATTGCCATAGTAGTCCCAGCCACCATTCCCATAGTCACACCATTTCCTCTTGGTGGTGGAATTGGAGCAGGGTACATGGTTGCTGGCATGCCATTAGGCTGCACAACTGTGGTGTGATGGATTACGTGGGGTGGTGCTGCATATAAAGGCTGTGTGTAGTAAGTGCCTTGCTGTTGGAAAAGAACAGTAAATTTAGAATATTTTCACCACTAAAACCATTTCAAAGGTTGATACATCTGGGTTTTCTTTTTCAGAAATAAATTTCTTTAAAAAAACTATTTTTCTTTTTTCAAATCAGCCTTTTCATTTTAATTATTTAAAATATTATGTTGTTTTTTAAAATTAAATGCAATATAAAACATATTAAAGCCTTCAATATTTTAAGAAATTATCATTTTAAACATATAATATACTGAATGCATGAGCCTTCCATAAACTGAGTTAGTCTGCTTGTTTATCAGTGTGAAAAGAACCAGGATAAAAAAAAAAAATCATTTAATTTCTGAGATCAAACTTCATTAATGACAATGGGCATGTCTACACGCGATGCTACATCATGGCTGTGACGCGTTACAGTGACCATGTGTCAACATGTGACCAGTAGCTATGTTGCTGTAGCAGCTCACTCCCTCATTACAGTGCTCCACTAAAGTAAAGTAGTAGCTAAAAATAACAATGTGCCCAGTGTACAGAACAGTAGCAACATCGCTGTATAGGCATATGTAGACAAGCCCAATAAGTCACAGACTGTATTAAGGATTTAACCCTACGGAGAAGCCAGGGGCTGTGTGCAAGAGATCAGCAAAGTCATCACAGGTGTTAGGCTCCAGTCTCTGATTTAGGAAACCATCACATCTCTCTTCAAGTCTTACAGGACACCCACTTATGTAAACACGACTCCTATTTTGTAGCTTTTCCCTCTGAGAGCTCCAATTGGCTCAGGTCTAAAATTTACATACAAGTTTATGTACCCAAAATAAATTTAAGATAATTTTTAAAAAACTAAACAAAACAAAATGACATATTCCATCCAACCTTTTTTTTTGGCAGGTGTGCCACAAATTAGCCCCAAACTGAGTGCCACTCTGATTCCCTTTACTTATCTCCTTTATGCTTTCTCCTGGGTCTACCACATGCTAAAACAGAGGCTGCCCACAGCACTTGTGGCATGCATGCCACAGGTTGGCTACCTGTGCTATATGCTGTTTTGCACATTTGATTCCAGTTAACATTCTAAAGAAGCTGCTTGAAATAAATCATGTGGAAAGAGTTAATTATCATAATCAATGCATTATTCACCCTGTTGACACATCAAAATGTAAAATAAAAATCTATAAAATATTAAATTATCTAACTGCTTAATTATCTAACTGCTTAAATGAATATAATTCAGTAGCAAAAAGATGTCCCAAACCTAGTATATTTAGTTGTAAATCTACATGTTTTAAAATGGTCACATCATCCAGAGAAAATGCACTTTTCTTTAGAAAATAACCAAATTAGACAAGTCATATAAAAATCACCTTGATTTAAAACAATCCACCTTGAGGTCATGATTCAAGATGTTCAGGAAAGCAAAGTGAGGAAAGCCTGATTCTGTTCTCAGATTGGTTTTATACACATGTACTTAACTCTCATGGAAAAAAAAGCAATGGGTTATTTAGGAAACAGGAATGATTATGTGGGACTAGAAAGAAAAGACTAAAAAGGAGCACTTTTAATAGAGAACTGAAAGCTTCAGAAGTGCTGCACAGAAAATCATCTTCTACCCAACTGAGAACTGATAACCCAATGGCTTAAAATGTTGCATCCAGAATTAAGCTAGCTACTCTAGGCATGACAATTTGCATCAGTTACCTCCTGTCACCCAAGTCCTATAGTTGTGCCAGTTTTGCTTTTAGGGTTCTGCAGTAATGCTTTCCAGCGATACTGGAAGGTCTCTAGCAAAGTGAGGGCCCATAATCCACCCTGCTGAAGACAGCTATTTGTATCTCCTTCCCTGATCAGCTAAGCAGAACTGGTTGCAAGATGGTTAGAAGACCACATATTTTCTATTAAGGCCTAAAATTCTGCTTCCCCAAATCTCTGCAAGCAAGTTTATTCAGAATTACAATATTCTTCACCCTGGTTAAAGGCCAGACGACTTTTTTGTGTGTGTAATTGTCCTTTTCCATCTAGCTCCATCACATGACCTCATTTACATTACTGTTACCTAGGGCATGACTAGACATACATTTGAAGCACTCCAAATCCCAAATTTGGTGCCATGAAGATGTGCAGCTATCCCCTGAACCTTGTAGGGCACTTCAAAATGACCAAGGCATGCAGCAGCACTCTCTCCAGCCACGGGCTAGAGAACAGGAATCCCTGCATGCCTCTGGGCCAGAGGACAGCAGAGCACTCTCCATTTGCCGGGAGGAACACTGGGATGCCATAAGACCTTATTTGGATGACCATTTTTGTAGTGCTTCTTCAACAGTGCACACCTATACCCTTGCTATTTGAAGCATTTCAGTTACCTTTGAAGCACACCAAACAGCACATCTGTCCATTGCTCCACATAAGGACATAGAGGTGCACAACAGCCAAAATGATCTTTAAAAAGCTCAGTGACATCATACTGCTGGACAACGAGGGAAGTGCTCTGCATAAGAACACTAGTTTGATATATGGAAAAGCAGAAGGACAGTACAGCATGGAGACTAAGACAGAAAGACCCTGCTATTGTTGTAGTGCTACAAAAAAGTGCATAAAGGAGCAGCAGCCACTGCAACCCTCTTATGGCAGTGTTTTGAAATAAGGGTCATAAACTTAAAAAGAGTGCCCTTATTTTAAAAAAAAAAAAAGGTGACTGATGTTTGGTTTCTTTGGCAACACCTAGACTGCTGTAATTACCGCCTAAGAGATCTGGATACTTTGGCACTTAGTACCTTTGCAAGTTTTAACACTAGGTCACCTTGATGTTAGCCTGATTTTCAAAAGCATTTAGTACTTGAGTGTGTATGACCTTGAAAGGGCCCCAGGACTTTTGAAAAATAAAGGTCATGCATTTAGATTTCTAAAGCTGACCATAGAAATGTACTTTTAGGCACCCATTTTAAAACCCAGAACTTTTGGTATATGTGTAAGAAGCAATCTATAACACAATTTAAATCCTGAACAGGGAGTTTATTTTTTGCATATGCTTGAGATTCTTTATTTAAAAACTCATTACAAGTTAAAAATATAATTTTCCCCCAGCATGGAGATTAATGCAATACTTACTATATAACCGTTTATAATGGAGGCTGAAAGCAAACTACTACTAGAACTGGAAGAAGATGTATGCACTTTCTTACCTGTGCATATGGATTCTGCTGTGGATAGGCACTTCGAACCGGATACACAGCAGTCTGGTAGGGATTGGGTGATGAAGAGTAAGGGGGCACTGCACCGCTGGTAGGTGAACAAGATACTTTATATGGTGTGCCTGGTGTGTAACCTGCAACAAAAGCAAGTCTGTATTAGAAAGCCATGTGAAAGACAATGAGCATTAGAGTACTGTTTAATAATATTAAATTCTACTACTGCCAAACTTTCATCCTTAATTTTCGTGTTTGATCTGAGAATTCAATAAATTACCATCAATGACTGCAAACAAATCCAGCCAGAGTTGCTGCCACCACCAGGCTTGGGCCCAGAGTAAGCACATGCTCCATGCTCTAGACTAGAATGGGGCCAATCTGGAGCAAGAGTAAGCTAGGAAAGGCAGGCAGCAGCTATGGCTCCATCCCTTATCTCAGGTTGAGGCCAAAGCCGCAGCAACTGCTTGTCCTCCACCATCGCCTTGTACTTTAATCCAAAACTAAGGTTTTCCATCCCCACCCAGCGCATGTTATATTGGGAAAGAACCTCATCTTGGATTTGAGTAAATATGGTATGTTTTCTTCAGAATGAAAATAGTTTCATCCACCCACTTCCTACCCCACCCCACTTTCAAACTGACTAACAGATCTGTTTCAGCTATTTTAGTTATAATACTGACAAAACACTTGGTTCTACCAGACTAAACTAGGTATGTCTGACCTATTCAGAATCTTTTGGCAAACATTAAAATGCTAATAAGTTCCCAGTCTGCCTCAGTAAGTGTTACAGTCAACAATCCTTTTGTAAAGGAACTTCAGTGGCAGCCGGAACAGGAGAACTACCCTACTCTTTGGATAAGGACCAATGAAAAGGTCAGGAAGATTTCTCAGGCAGCCTGGAAGTAAGATGAATGCAGTAACATTCTCCACTATATTCTCCACTTAAGCTACATGTGATCATAATTGTTTGCTAAAATTTTCAGACTTGGCTAAAGTAAATACTGAAAACCAAGTTCTCAAACTCAAGGAGTAAAGAAAGATAAAAGGGCAAACGTTTTGAGAATGCTTAAAATGACTGACTACATTTTAAGAAGTGACGTAGCACTTATGCCCATCTCTGATTTTCAGCACACCTTGATGCAATAAGTTAGTACATCTGCATAAGTTCTGAGGAATTTTTAAAGAGATGTTGATAGAAGAGAAGAGAGAACATTATTTTTCAGAATGTTCTTGGTGAATCTTGAAGTGCACAAAAGTGAGTTTCCTCACAGGTTAGGAATTGCAGTAACTGAAACTTCTTATCTTAACTGATACCTGCATTAGCAAAGGACAGATGGATCTTTAATTCCTCTGAACCTAGTCACTGAAAGCATTTGCCCGATGAAAATAGACACTCAGAACAATGGAGCCAATGACCAAGACAAGCAGAAATAGCAGCAAAAAGAAGCACCATAACTGCTGCAGAATACTATACACCAGCCATTGAAATAATAACAATCCTTAGTTGGAAGGAGACGGAATATGAATACCTTCGATCAGCAATGCACATCACTGCCAGCAGAAGGCAGGGCCTATTGACTGTGCTGTACTGCTCTGAGGAGACTGTCAAAGAGACCTAGGCCCCTTGAGATACACACACTCAGATACCTTATGTTAAGATGAGGTCAAAGTCACTTTCTAACCCAAGGGTCATCAGATGGGTCCTATGAACTTAATTTACAGTGATCTATGTTCAACTCCACGGGAACCACGAGATAGTGCTAGAACCCACCCCCCCAATCATTTTCTTGTAAACTGTAGTATAAGAGTAAGTCCATTGGTTATAATGGCCCCATACGAATACTCAGAAGCACCCTGTTATGATCTGCAAATCCCCTAATAATGTTAATGACTTAGTTCAGTCTGCTAGGGAGAAGTCCATGTTTGGCAGCATTTTAACTAAGGGCAAATACTGAAAAACATTAGTATACTAATTCACAAGGAATTGGCCACTGTCATCCTCATGAGCAAAATGATATATATTTTAAGACAGAGCAGTAAAATACACACACAAGAAAGATCACTTGACTTTAAGTACTGATCTATAAATGTGAAAAAAAAAATTGTTGTTACAGGCAACCCCCACTTAGCGCTTTAAATTGGTTCCTGAAAACCTGAGCGTTAAGCAGAACCAAGCATTAAGCAAAACCAGCTTTCACTTTTTACTTTCTAAAGCCACCAAAAGCACCAGAATCAGGGCTGCCGGGATTAGTGTCAGTTCTAGCGCCAGCTGTACGATGCCCGTAAGTGTTATAACAAAACTTGCTGAGTGCTAAATGGAATCAGGTATCAATGAGCGCTATAGCAAAAGGCATTAAGCAAAACAGCATTAAGTGGGGGTTGCCTGTACTTTTACTTGGAATATACAATTAATCCTTTGACAATGCATTTCATCCATAATCCTATAAGGTGGTCTAAACTAGTTATCATTAGGATCCTAAAACTCTTTTACTATAAGTATCAGATTAAATTTAGATACATAGCTACCCTCCCACTAACTCTCCACCTCAAAAAGAATCATTTGTGGAAAGAGAAACAACACAAACACCTCCCCTCCCAAAAAACAGTCTTGAGGCATTAACTCACTAAGATACTAAGTACATTTTTATCAGTCATGTTTTTCCCTTGAACTTTATGACTTTGCTATTCTAAGTTATTTGAATATACAGAGTCACCATCTTTAATTACCTCTGAATTGGCTCCAAGTAGCAGTATTCAAAAGCTAAATTATTTGCATAAATCTTGCTTGTTCTTTTGGAATCAGGTGACCCTTTTTTAATGATGCCCTACACTTAAACAGGGAGATGCTGATGGAAGCACACAGATCTAAACAATGACTTGTTTTAGTCACTGAGGGCCAAAAAGTTGTGTATCATTATAAAAAGGCACCTCTGGTTTGTTCAAAACTGATTTTAAATTTTTTTTTAAATGAAAATTTAATTCTAGTTCACATTGTCCTGAAAATGAATAGTAGATATTTAAAAAAAACAAATAAAACTTGTTGGTACATTCCTTCTGATAACACCAACTGCCTCTGACCAGATTGAATGACTACCACAGAGCTGCAGAAAGTTGAAATTAATGTTGTGAGTGCCTAAAATAATAAAATAAGTTAGCATGTACCCAGAAAAGAGTGCACTGGGGAAATACTGTCCATTTCTAGCATATGGAGTTATTTAAAGGTTAAAAATATTCTAATATTATAAAAGCCTAAGTCTGTCTGTCTGTAATGCTTTATTTGCAGCCTGATTGGCTGACGGAAACAGCCAATCAGAGTGCTCCAAGCACAGGGGAGCGCCACTATGATTCCGAAGTCACACCGAAGACCGGAGAGAGGGTGGGGGAGCCAAGGCCAGTGCTGCTGCCCGCGGCCCCCCCAACCCGCTCCCTGCAAGCAGTGCTGAGGACTGGACAGGGGGTGAGGGAGCTGGGGCCAGCAGCACTGGCCTCGGTTCCCCCACCCCACTTCCTGCAAGCGGCAGAACAGCGGCAGCATAGGGCGTTACCCGTCGTCTTGACAGGCAATTGGCTAGTATATGTGTGTATATATATGTTAGGCTGGCAGAAAAATATGGGATATGGATAATTTCTGCTGAAATGCAGCCAAACCCCCGGGGACATTCAATATATTCAAAGAGACTTACCACACACTATGCTTTCCGATTAACATTTGCTATTCCAAAATGTACATGCAAACTTTAAGTAATGCCATGAAGTCTTCTTTTCCCATCCCTGTCCAGACAAGTGCACACATGCAGTCTGCAGTGCCTCAGAGCTGTTTGACGCACCGCAAACACAACCATTCGCTGCACTGTAAAATTTGCAGCATGGCGCCAGTATTTTGACACTGGGAGACGCGCAGGTCCCTGCTACACAAGCCCCAAACGCATGCCACTGCATGTGTGTGTTTGTCTGGACATGCCCTCAGAGAGCAAATGCCTGCCTCATTCAAATCTATTATGTTTTTAGAGCACAGCAGTTTAGAACAGATAGCTTTAAAAAGTTACATCTGCACACACAACGCAGGAAGGGTATGGTCCAATCTCATAGCAGATCTGGATTTAGGAAATGCTGATTATGAAAAAACAAAGTATTGTATCAAGAGAATAAGTAATGTACCTTTTAATTGAGAAATGTTTCAGGTTAGAAATCCCAGCTGCCCAAACCAATTTGTCTTAATTATAAACATTTGGGCACTTTGAACTCCTATGATGGTGTTAGTGTTAAGTAAAACTGAAAAAAACCGTACACTTAAAACATAGCAAACGAAGACATGGTTCCACCTAATTTTAACACTTCCCCGAAATGAAAGGAATTCCTTTACCACAGAATGTATTACAAATGATCAAATTCTAAATTTCTGATCTAATCTTACATTCAACTCCTCAAGAAAGCTGTCAGAAGAACAGGTCAATTTTAAAGTTATGAAATGTGAACAAAGTGAAGTGCTCTGAATTAACACACAAAACAAATGAACACCAAACATTTTTATTTTAGTCTATTCATCACAAGCAATTTATTTTAAGGGTATAATTTTGTTACTACTGAAAATCAAAACCAACAGAAACAGACTCTTAAACCATCATTTGCACGCCACAAGCACTTCCAAGCCAATCCCAGCTTTCTGAGGAGAGCTATGGATTCACATTTTTTCCTCCCGGCTTTCAACTGCAGCTTAAAGAGAGGAGCCTTGCATAACAGCAGTCAACAAGGCCCCCCATAAAGATGCTGCAACAGGTTCTGAGGCTGTAACTAGTCAGCTGAAGCTAACTCCAGGTAAGAACAAGTTACAAGTGCTTTTCAGTACAGTGCTAAGAATTTTGATGATATGGGTGATGGATTTTCTGCCTTCAGTGGTACAAGACAGCACTGTGCCATAACACTGGAAACAGTGTAACACTGTAAGTTTGTGATGAACAACAGACAATTAAGCTTCTAATGCAGTTCTCTCTAGAGGCCCCAGCAAATACTGTTGCAGGCACCTCTCTTACAGCTCCAGTTGACAGCAAAGGAAGAAGTTGTAAAGTGCCACCTGAGTCTGTAGTATCTATCCACAGAAAATTTCTAAGTACAGGTTACTGACCTAGGACTGTTCCATCAATTTAGCTATGCTGATTTTCATTCAGGGGTTAGTATAACAGTTCTGTTTTGTACCATACAGACATACCCTGAAGCACCTACCAGCAGCATTCATCTAGAGTTCTCGCATCTCAAGCCAAAGTCTACCCTGCACGAGGTGGTGTCCACTGGCTCCCATGCCCTATCCAATGGCCTGCAATTCGGAATAACAAACCAGTCCACTTGAACACCCACAGGCTTAGAGGCCTGGACCTCACTGTAGACTATGACAAAATGAGATGACTTAGCAAAATTGAGGGGTTTTTGTAATATCCATCCTCTCTTATCTCAACTCAAAATCAAATCACCCAAAAGCAGAAACCAGAATTTACTTTTCCTGCTATGCCTTTATATAGTAAATTGGAGCAGGGACCCAAGATCTGCCAAGCAAAGCATTTTGCAGATCTTTATATATTTCAGAAATGTATATATTTCCACAGGAAGCAACTATTCTATAGAAGTTTAAAAGGCTGGGCAGATAGGTAAGAGTTTAGATGGTTTACTCCCCTTCACCTCAACCAATGCCATCATTCCCTTCCTCTAAGAATCAAGTCCGAGTCAAGTTGATGATTCACTTGAACCCACAGCCCTGGAAATAAGCAAGCTTTAAGGCATTATCTGTATCAACTCTCACTACATTGGCACGCGGCATCTGTAGGAGTGGTCTCCCCTGATTTCTTAAGAATAAAGGACCTGCCATTATGCAAGCTTAAAATGATCAACTTGTGAGTTGGTACTTACTCTGGGTTCTAAGACTATGACTGTCAGTATTCTGACAACTTCTAGGGCCAGCACTGGCTAATAAAATTCAACCTTTGATGCCTTCCTTGCAGATGTAACCAGATTCTTTACATGACAACTGGAACAAACTATTCCCCAGTACGAATTTTCCACTAATCATGATGGTATGTGGACATCCAAAAGCTAAATTTGGATACATGCATGCATATTTTTAATGCACTTCAAGTGGAGGAGCTCTAGGAGGTTCATGAAAAAAAAATCTTAAGACAGACCAAAAGGTACTGTTAAACACGACATAAGCAAGAACCAAGTATTAATACTACACACTGCTTGCTTCCCAGGACCAGAGAACTACTGTCCCAGTGCCTAGGCCAGCAGTTTAAAAAATGCCAGGTCTTACTTCAACGCCAGTGGAATAACACATTAGCCAATTTACTAGGTTCTGCATACAATTCATTTCTTCCCATCCTGCAGGAAATTTTTCAGTCATTTTTTGTATGTTGCACTCATTACTAGATACATTTTCTCCAGATAAGTTGCATAGTAGTTGGCCAAATGGATAAACAGTTTCTATGGGTGCACTGATAAAGATTTCTTGGCCGATACCAATAACCGATTATTAATAAACCATACTGGCTGATGCCAATCCAATAACCGATATTTAGTAATAATGCATGGCATTTTAAACTACTACACAAACCTTTTTTCTTTGTTTTACATTTATAATACACACATGAACAAGCTTTAGTTCAAGCACCCCCACCACTATTTCTAAGCGCTGGGACACTGATACAGGAGATGCAGCAGCACTAATTAGAGTGGCTCTTGGAGCACATGTAAAACTGCCCATGCCAGCTGCAGCAGGTGGGGTTAGCCTAGCACTGCCTGCAACTGGCTATGCAAGCCCTTCAGCCCCTGCTCTTTTGCATAATGACCTTGAACCCCAGCCTAGGTACAGCTGCCTGAGCCTGCCCAGCAGGGCTGAGGGGGAAAGTATAAACTTTCCTGGCTGCTCACGATTGGGTGGTCTCTACAGCAGGCATCCCTGTGCTTCAAAACGGCAGTAGGGGCACTTTAACTGAAGCTTGAACAAGCTTTAAAGCACCCCCACAACCATTTTAAAGTGTGGGATGCTGAATACATGCGATACTGCAGGTGCTTTAATTAAAGGGGCTCTCGAAGCCATTAAATGCCTCCCCCACAGAGCACATGTAAAGATATCCTTCTAGATCAGTTCAGAGGCATGACCTTGTGTAGGCAGAAAGCAGGGTAGATTTGCACCCAATAGACTAATGGCTAACTAGGTCTCTCTTTTGTAGGTATCCTAATTTGTCAGACACTATGAAACAATATATTATCTTACGAGTAGAGAGAAGCAGTTAGCCATGTCTGAGGTTAGGCAGAAGGCAGAGCTGGGTGGCACCTTACAGACTAACTTATTTGGAAATGCATGAACTTCGGTAGGCTAAGGCCTACTTTGCACAATCCTAGTTTTCCAAGATGCTTTGTTTTGGTTCTTTGGACCCTTCTGCATCCATTCTTTCCTCCCAACTTCCAATCCTTCCCCTTGCCTATACCCCAGCTAAGCTATATGCAGATGTAGCTGCTGAACACAGCTCCTTCCCCATGACCAAGTAGAAAAAGAACTGTATAACTGTCCAGATTTGTAACCACTACGGGACAGTATTTATGTGCACTGGACAATTTCTATGTGCAGGATCAGGACATGATCAAGACAGGGAGGCAGCAACTTAATTTTAGGAGGTTAAAGGTCTGAGGTAGTGAAAAGGGTATATTGCAGAATCCCTTCAAAAACCTTCATCACAAACCTGGAAATAAAGGGTGAGATGCAAAAAGGATAACAACAAATTTGCATAACAAAAGGAATGCACCAAAAATTTCTGAAAGGATTTTAACTACCAGTCTAGCCTCAAAACCTCCCCTAAGAAGTGATGATTTTCTCTCTCATGTATAGGGAAGAAGAGCACGTGGAGGAATGGGGAACGGGGGGGCACAGAGGATGTTGAGGTGGATCATGCCTCCAAAGCAAGCAAACAAAACCAATTTAAGTAATTTAGTTTGTCAATTTTCTAAGCTACTTTCAAGTGAAAGAACACTGCTATACATTTTAAACTACAGAATTCCCCTGCATTCCCAATTTCAAACCCTTTTGAAGCGGTGAGTGTTTTAAAGCAATAGATATTTTATTTCATACCTGTTTGGAAGGTAGGATTTGCTCCAGGATACATATTAGGTGAATAGGCAGGAGCAGCCGCTGCATAGCCCATTGGGAAGCCAGCTAAGAGATAAAAAGAACAATCCAAGATTAGGAAGATAATGGAGCCACCTGCTTTGATCTCAAAGAATGCTGCCCTTTACACTTGTACCAAAGACCTGTGAAATCAGATAGAATTGATCCTAATTGGTAACTGCCATGGCTCCACAAGGGATGCCACCAAATCTGAGATAGAATACTTGTTGAGGGGACCAGCTAAGAAGCTGATGGCCCTGTTCTCCCTCTTAAGTGAAAGCCCAAATTAAACATGTTCCTGCAATTTGCGGTCTGTTTGTAAACTCTGACTAAACATCTACAAGAACACCAATCACACAATGAAGTACATACAAATGCTGAATTACCTTTTTATCATGTAGTAAATGCTGCAGAATGACTGGATTCGTTTCCCAAAATAGCCAGAAAAAACAAACTAATAACCAAACCAATTCACCCCACAATTTTAACCCACCATCCCTATTTCTTTGCCTTCAGATGTTGGTTAAACTCTTATATAGCATCAAAACACAGCAGTAATACTCAGCAATTTAGTGAGACAATGGCAAAATGCTATCCTGACCCTTTTACACCAGAACACAAGTACCACAAGTAAAGAAACATGAAATATTGGCTCCAGCTGTTAAGGTAATAACAGTATGGAGTGATTTAATTGCCCATGGGTTACATGTTTAACAAGTTATTTCACTGACTTCATGTGTTAGTGAAAAATAGAAAGCTATATAGCTTGATGGCTTTATCCTTCCATACACAAGCATTACTTGAGTTAATTGTTTGGAAAACAGGGATCCTATTGTTTCTCATAATGCAAGAGTACCAGGTGAAAGACTGGTACTACTAAAAGACTCACAGACATACAAGTGACAAGTTCTCTGGGGAAAAAAAAAAGACAACACAGGCATTTTTGTTAGACTTTAAATTGCTGGAAGCTTCAATTATATTATTATTAAAATAAATTCCTTTGCTATTGCTCTTTTCTAAACAATAAAGATTGTAAATGCTTTGGAACCAGAAGTATACATTTACCTACATTTTATAAAGCACTCAAGAAATATTTGGTATTCTATACATTTATAAAATAAGTTGATGGACATGAGGCCTTATGCCAAGCATTATTAAAAATTGTACAAATATATAAGTCAGGGATATAGAAAAGGCAGCTGTTGTATTTGCTAGAATGAGTTTTTGATATTCTAAGTTACAGTTACTTACAAAGTTAACTAGATGAAAATGAAATACTTTAGGTCAATCTGATATCTTATGTGAAATGGTTAGGCTATCTACAATATTATTTAGGCTGTATAAGCCTTTCAGTTCTCTTATTTCATAGGTTTTAGTTCCTGAGTAATAATTTCAGCTCCATGGGAACAAGATGCTCCAGGAGCAAGTTATATATGAGAAATGTAAAACAAACATGAAATAAAGTTCAATAACTTCTCCACACAAAACGTGTCCTTCTGAACAAAGCATCTGAATTTTGATGGCTCATTTTAGGTAGGCGGGTCTACAGTAAAAAGCATCTCAATGGTTCTGGTTCCACATTTTCTCCAGACAAGATGTGCCTTCCATCAATCACTTGAAATTATTTCTAAACATGAGAAAACACTACAACAAAAATAAATCGGTAATTTTGAATGAAGAATCTATGAGAAAATGTCACGATTGAGCAATTTTATCTGACATGACACCTAATTAGTCCAGCATTTACTTAACAGAGTGTGAACAAAAAGAAAAGTACAAAACAACCGGAACTAATTTGACACTATAATTTAAATCACCAGTGTCAATATGCCACCTTAAGGCAATACAAACATATACACCAGTAATTTATTTTAAGCTATTTTATCTAATCAATTACATTCAGTTAAACACAAAATGAACGATCTAGCCAAAATACAGAGATACCCTGCTCATGGGGGAGAATGCTAAATATGACTCACATTTAATATGCATTCAGACTCTCAAAAAATAATTTCAGATATGTAGTCAAAGCCTTTAGAGGAAATGGAAAAAGAATATGCCTTCTAAAGAATAATCAATTTATTAAATTCAATAGTTAACTTGTGAAGCTAGGATGCTATGCTTTTTAATTTGCAGATTGTGAAGAACCTAACAAAAATGCACAAGTTTTTTCAAATGGAAATAGGACAGATGGAACAGATTTGAAGAATTTAAAAATATTTAAAAACAAACGTATTTAAACTGAGAGTTTTAGACTACCTGTGTTAAGGTCTAACGTTACTATTATCTGCTTATACATTATATAAAATCCTATTTGGCAACTGTCAATCCACTAACAACATTTAATTTTTCCTTTGTTTCATCAATGTTCTAAAAGTAAAAACATTTTGAAAAAAAAAGTCTCCATGCAGATTTCAAGTAGTTTTAAATAACTAATAAACGCAACTTTAAAATACTGGTTTTGTTCATATTACTTGAGTAACCATTACTGCAACTTAATAAATCTGGTTAACCAGCATTATCAGAAGCATGTAATTCACTGTTTTTATACATAATAAAAAGAAAGCCTGGAAACTTTCTAAATGTATTATGTTCAAATGCTTTAAATGGGTAAAAATATAGTGTAGCCTCCTGGTTAACAAAACGCACAATCAAATTTAGCGTGAAGCCTATCTCCAATTACAAATCAGTGTTTTGATCATTATACAAATTAACTAGAATGAACTTTTGTTTTAGAAAAACAGTACAAATCAAAAGCAGGATTTAAATAAATTAATTTGAATCTACAATTTGAATCTTGATTTAAATAAATCAAGGTTTCCTGCTTGTTAAACTCAATCCATTCTCAAAGAAAAGCCAACTCTGTGTAAAACTGCTACTCCTCATTATAATGTTAATGTAGTTTATAGAACAACCAATAAACTAGTTATGGCAGAGAAC